GTGTGTGTGTGAGTGTGTGTGTGTGTGTGTGTTCTTAAGGGTTCCCTCTAGAGCGCGTTACTAAGGTTCAGAATATAACAGGAGCTAAAGGATAATAATATTTTAAGGAACTAAATCCATAAACATTAAACGACAGTTGAATCTTATTCTGTCTCAGTCTATAAGGCATCTGGAGAGGATGGAATACTATTTACTGTTTGTGTATTGGCACAGGCGAGACACGGGGGCGACAGGGCGAGTATAGAGAACTCATTCCGTTAAATTTACAGGTGATAATTTAAGACACGAAAACAGACAACAACACATCGCAATGAATTCTGAAATTGAATAATTTTATTGCACACTGGTTGAGTCTGAAGGTTGTTCACATTTCATCTTCATGTCCCTTAAAACAAGTTCTTCTTGTTAGTTGACTTTGCTGGGTTCAACCACGTAGCTGTTTTATATCGACATTGACAGTGGTAGCCATCGTTATTAACATAAAAGCATTTAGTAAGCGTTAGAGTAATTGTGGGTATATTGGCTACTTGCCACATTTCACTACCTCAGAATTACTAAGTTCCATCTGACATGTTTGGCCGTTTTGAGTTAGTAAAAGCGTGAGGTCAGAAATCAAATAGCCCATCTGCTCTATCAAAACCATAAAACTATTCCGAGTCGCTATGAAGATATTCAAAGAATTGCTTTCGAAAAAGTTTAAAATATTGTGAAACCCAAAACTTCTGGCATCACATTTCTCAGAACTAGGTACTGGACGGATAGAACTTTGTGATTCTAAGGTAGCAATGTGTCAAAGCCACTGGTTAACAACTTGTCTGGGCGTCAGCGTATTTGGAATAAGCCTTGGGTTCTCTTTGTTTTCAGATATACACATTTTTGTAATGTCATTTAACCATTCAATAAACTGTGATTTGTGTGTCCATTATATTTGCTGCTTTAAGTTGTTAATACCTTTATGCTGGTATTCCTCATGATGTATCCGGGATGTGTGTGTGTGTGTGTGTGTGTGTGTGTGTGTGTGTGTGTGTGTGTGTGCATGTGTGTGCGCACTAGTGCGTGTGAGTGAGAACGTATGTTTATGCATGTGTGTGCTGGTAGTGCAAATATTATTACCCCATGACCCGTCCTCATATCATTAACTGTAATTTAGAATTGAAGAATATATTACGTATGAAGTTATTAGATATTTATTAAAGTACTTTAATATTTAAGGATATTGTATGTACAGGCAGTTACATCACGTGAACTGTTCAAATATGTATGACTTGTGATCAGCAGTGCAATACTGTGTCTGTGATGGGTTGTTGTTGTTTTGTTTTTGTTTTTTGGGGGGGTTTAGTTGTTTTTTTGTTTGTTTGTTGTTGTTGTTTTTTTGAGGGGGTCAATGCATTGTTTTGTTTTGCTTTTTTTTGTTGGGGTTTTTATTCTTATTTGTTTGTTGTCGTTTTTGTTTTGTTTTTAAAGAATACGCGTACATTCTTGGCAGTGGCTTCTGCCTCGAGTACCCTCCAGCTTTATTCAGGATTTTCTCTTGATGCTTGTCGCACAATTATTTTTATGACAGTCTATTATTTTATTTAAAACTTCATTTTTAAGTTGTCTTTTGTAAAACCGAGAGATAGACGCTCAAGAACAACAATTTTCACCCAAAGCCTTCGGTACGATGACTGTGGGCCCTGCCGATTGTCTGAGGATTGTTTTAAAAATTGAGCAACTGATTTTCTAGACGGTGTCATAATATATCAAATCAAAGGTTATAAGATTCATCGTCGGTGGGGTTCACTCATGAATTAATGAGGAAACCTACACCCACCCCCTCCCTCACCCCCATCTCTCACCCCACGAAAGAACATAATACAATGTATAATGTGTAAAAATATAATATGCTATATTTATCCGGATTAAACTTTGTCTCTACGCCACATTTTGACAACTGACGATAAACTCAAAATATCACGTGAAGGTCAAAAGAAAAACAAGCCGGGAACTGTACCTGGAGACTTGATACATAGCCAACAGTGTAAAAATGATTGAAAATGTGTTGATACCAAGTTCATTCCCTTTCTCGCATTTACAAAGGTGGCCTCGTGATTTCGGTACGTAGTAACAGTCTTGTGAGTAGACGCAATAATCAGGATTCGCCTGTGCTCACTTGAAAGTACACTACATTGTAAAAGCTTTACTACAACCTTATTTTTGATGGTTCCTTTTTTTTTTTACCCTTTTCCAATGTTAGTCTGTTTGTCCTAGCTCTTCCCTAAAACAGTGCAGTTTTATTTCTTTTTTCTGTTTTCTGGTTTTGTTTTGTTTTTGCCGTTCTCATGAAATCAATCAGTATTGCAAGTAACGCCAAAATTGTGATACATTCAATGTACTGCTTTAGTTTCATTTCATGTGACTGCTATAAGGCTCTCGATTCTTTGTTTTCGTGGGGGGGGGGGGTTCCGTGGAAAACGTATCCTATCACTGATGCTGGAATTCTAACCAAAGACCCAAGAGAACAATTAATGTGATA